TGAGAAGAAACTAGAAATGTTTGAACCCCTGCTTTGTAGTTGGCAGATACATAGTAGATCTTCAAAAAGTCCCTCATCGAAGAAGCCAGAAGAAGATGACACTTGGACACCGGTTGTAAGGTATCTAAGTCCATCTGGCCGGCAATCTCGAAATTACAAAGATGACCAGGCATGGATTGCAAGGTATCAATTAAGCTGAGTTTAATCTCAAATTTCGCAGAAAAAATTAGAACAAAGACTCACAGCGGGTTTGATTTCTAACTTCAAAATTGGACACCAGTGGAATATACTATGTAAAGATGAGAAGGAACCAGAGACGTTTGAACACTAGCTTTGTAGTTGGCCCAAACACAACATCACCTTTTCGGCAGAAACATAGCAAATCTTCAAAAAGTCTCCCATAGAAGAAGCCGAAAAACGGCACTTGGAAACCGGTTGCAAAGTATCTAAGATCATCTGGCCGGCAATCTCGAAAAGAAAAACAAGCTTCCTCCTATTATTTCGGAGGTCTGATCTAGGAATCGCGGTAGACAAACGGACTGGCCACTACAGTATCAGATATCTGACATAAACATGAAATAATAGTGTTCCTGACTACTGTAGACTATGTGAAGATGTAGAAGAGGTAGAGTCGATTAAACCCGTACTATTTGGGACGTTCTCTAACGTTCTTCTCAGACATAGATCCCAACATTATTTTCAACCAAACCAAAGATATGGGATATATAACTAAAGTCATGTGCATTTGCTGATCGGGTCCTTGAAATGGATTAAATCCAAACAAAATTGTCGTATTTGGGGCTCGGAAAACTCAACAGTTATTATGGATAAGCCTCCTCCTTCGAAAATGTGACTGATTGGTTCAGTTTCCACATCCTCAAGGATGGAGCTTACTTGGTCGTATCAATAGTTAGGTGAATGGAAAGCCCTGACTATCTAACGTAATCATAAGACTATCATTCGAAATCATAAAAAACATATTTTATTACTTCCCTATTTCATTATTTGTAAGACCTACTCTCCTCATCTTCACTCAAAGCTCTCTCTCTCACTCTCTCTCCATTATAAAATTTTCTCTATATAACATAGAATAAACACAATGGACCTCAGAGAGGAGCCATTGCGATCAAAGGCAACACTGTGTCCCTAAACCTTGATACGAGGAATCTTTTCACCTTTTCCTCTTTTTTTCTCTTATAAAGACTAGTTAGACTACCGCGATAAACACAATGGACAAGAGAGAAGATGCTATTCGGCAGATATGGGATATATAACTCAAGCCCCCCGATCATCAACAATGTCGTGTTTTTTTGATAAGAACTAACTCCATAATTTCGCTGACTCTAAAAATCATAGTGGGTTTGATTACAGGCCATTTTATGGTTAGAAACTTGAGACGGTTTACCATTCGCTTTGTCGATGTCTTGCAGCAAGAGTCTGGTTCGCTGTTTTTTTTTTATTAAATTTTTTGATTATTCCATTGTTGTCAGATATTTGAAATCTCATAGAGTATTCGGTTTAAGTGCAGCACAAAAAGAAAACAACAACAATAAACCCTTTATTGTCCAACAACTTCCATCCACATTGGATCAGTGACATTTGAACTTGAATTTTACAATGAAGCGGGGATCCTGATGACTTTTCACAAGCAGCAGTAACTGCCACATGGATTCACAATACGACAACAACAACAATAACAACACTTACACTTCATTTGCATTTTTATGAGAAATGTTACAACGTCACGTAATAGAATGAACTAAATGTACACGATACGGTGCTGTAAGTTGTTCTTGCCAGAACATGATTCTAAAAAGGTATATACAAACAAACATACCTACGATATAGGTATACATTTACATAAGTGAGAAGAAGAAGAAGGAAAAAAGCGTGGCACTCCATGAACAACTGAGGCCAACAGCAGGCGGTATTGGTGTTATGAAGGCTGCATTCAGCTTTTGTTAGACTGCATTTCCAATGGCGAGGATAATAAGCAATGGGGGAAAGTGGCAAAACACACAAAAATACTAGCCAAACTTAAAGCAAGATATGAGTTTATAATCCCAAAGATATTGAATTCATGTTCTATTGGGGAAATTTGTTTATTTTATGCCCCCTTATGTTTTTTTCTGTTTAAACTTTAGTTGTCGAGGTCATTACACTCCATGTGGAGTGGGGCATTGGCCAAACAGAGAGAGAGAGACAATAAAGTAAATCGGAAACAAAATGATTTTCCCCAAGAACAAAAGACATATGTTATGTGTATGGGTATGTCTGTCTGTCTGTTCATTCCCGCCGAGTGTCAACAGAACTGCATTGTAATGTTTACAATCAATTTGTCTTCTTCTATCTGTGTCACATGAAGAGTTTAGGCAAACACAACAAACCTACATTGAGCATTCGAGTTGCCTACAAAACACAAACGTCACATACATTGATCCCTATTTGATGTGGATAGCAGCAGCAGCAGCGGCAGCGGCACATTAAATACTCGTTATGTGTGACGTCATAGATGAAGTTTAAATTGTTGTGTTACAAAAAGAAACCCCCTTCCTATTTTGTTTCTAGGGCTGTTTCATGAAAGAATTTCCTTTTGTCATTGAATTGTGTGGCCAGGTCCATTTCCACTTCAGTTATTTTTTTTTTAATTAATGATCAACATGAGGGTCTTTCGATGTTTTTGTTGGGTATTTATGGTGACATAATCAGCTTTATTTTTTTAAGAGATTATTTCAATTGAATGACTGCGCACAATACAAATCAATTGGTTTTAAATTTCTTAAAAGCAAAAGTATGTTAACAAGATAGAAGAAATCAGTTGCTTTTTTACCTCATTTTTTTACTAATAATATTGCGAAGTTCGGAATTTATTAAAAATGTTGGACCCCTATGGGGTAGATGCTGGAAGATATGGGCTGATGCTGACGATTTTTACTTGATCTAATTTTATAGAAATATAGTGAGATGCGTGGTTTGATGAAAATCTCCCACTAATTTCTATTTTTATGAGAGTAGAATTTTTTAACATTTTAATCCGCTTGAGGATGATTAATATACAGGGTTTTCCAATAAAAGATTTGCACGTCGTTCAGGTACAATTTTATTTCTGTAGCCTTAAATGTTGACGACTGACTGTCCATTCTTCCTAGTTATTTGAAATATGTCATTCCACTGTGTATATGGCAGAATTGGGCCTTGAGGCTTTTAAAGTTAATCTAACACAAGAACCCTAATCCCCCGATCATCAAACAACGTCGTGTCTTTGCTGATCTTAAAATTCATGAAATTTATCCGGAATTCTTTCACATTGGGCCCTGCGGGAATATGCAAAATCATTACACATCATCATTACATCATTACATCTGGTGCTCTAAAACCCCAAGAGTTATTATTGAGAAGCCTTCCAATTCTCAACGTGTGACTGTTCGGTGAGGTATATGAACGGCGGAAACATTAGACCCTCTTAAAAAAATAAGGATGGATCAACAATTCCGTAAATTGGACTATAGTGACATAATTAATGATTCCTTATATCCGGAGTTGGCTGGAATTGATCTAAACAACTTCGCCACACAATTTGAGGACGGTGAGAATACTACCATCCGACCAAGTTTATAACGTGTGTATGGACGCCTGTCGTACAAGGAATTTCGAAACAAGAAGTCGAAACCACGTAGAGCAAAACATTGCGTTCCCCAAGTTGGGGTGAAATTTTCGAAATTTCTTAACCACAGATTGCATTGAGATCGGATAAGTTTTTTGATGACATATGTGTAAGACTGACCACATATCTCGATGAGCTTGCCGCCTTCTTTCAAGCGAGGAATATGAAAATATCCGTCACTACGTTAACGTTTATACATACACTGTTTAGTACGTGGGAAGATGAGAACACAGCTAAATGTACGTCTCGAGAGACTTTTAATTCCGTTTAAAAACTCCCTAAGATCTTAGGCGTCACATTCCGGTGCATCTTCAAGTCGTAAAGAACAATGTCCGTTAGGCACTAACACGCAGCACTTGTGGCGCAGACAAGGAGACCTTGATGACCTCTTGTAACACGAAAGGCCAATCTATAGTGCTTCGCAGTAGCAGAATATCCAGACCTGCCAAAAATGCTACCTTGTTAACAGAAAAAGGGTGACTTCACATGACACTATTGGACAATCTATATGAGAAACAGAACCTACTTGGGTATCAACATGGAAGTCATCCAAACAATCAAAGCTCCTCAGCACAGGCGTATCAGGAAGGACTTGCACGACCTAGAAAGGAAAGTCCAACGCTAGAATACTGATGCAGTCAACCGATGCCATTAAGAATTACAGCATGAAGTAGTCCCACTTATTTATTGCAGCTGAGGAACGACGGGTGCCTAGACGAATAGGGTATAATTGGCCCAAATACGATTTGGGCGGTGCAGCCGTCTTAATTCGAATTGAGAGCCAATTGATGAAGATGTGCAAAACGCTTGCCCAGCGTATGATACATAGCCACACACTACGCTGCACCTCTTTAGTTGCTCTGTCCGACCTATCCAACTCAATACTGGACATTTTTTGGCTACAGCGTCTGAAGGTAGCCGAATTTTTAAATTTGGAGTTAGAACCTGATTGAGAGAAATCGGTGCGTAACATGCCTTTTTGGTACAACTCGGAGTGTCCAACGGACATCACTAGATTGACCCCGATTGAGACTTATATTGTCTTAAATTACCCCAAAAATTTACCTATTTATTGAGATCCATAGCAAATATGAGTTCTTAAAGATTATTCATAGCTAGAAAAAAACATTTGGATTATTCCTTTAAACCATCTAGTTATAATGATGATGCTTTTAATTACAAAACCAATTGATAAACAATTTCTCCCCTTAACACAAATTGATGATTGCACAGAAGATTAATAACTCAATATCAAAAAAACCCGAATGAATACCTTATAAACACAAAACATGTAAAATGATTTAAACGTTAAAGAAAAAGGTGCGATTTTACTTACGATTACTATTGCCTTGGAACTCATCATCGGGTATCTGTTGACCCAAACTTTTATTTTGGGCTGATGTTGTGGGTGAGCTTTGATCGAAGGCCGAGAAACCCGATGTGTTGGTCAAAGTTGTAGAGGTAGCCGAGACAGCGGTGAACACTTCTTCCATGGGAGAAGGTGTTGACTTTTCATAATAAATATCTTTTTCATCTTTCATTTTGATGTTGGATTGTTCCTTTTCGGAGAGTACTTCTGCGTGAATGGATGGACGCTTTTGTATGAAATTTAGGGATTCGGAACTTTGATTAGCAATGAACTTGTTCTTCATACTAGCAGCGGGTAATGGTGGTGATTGTGAACGATTTTGCATTGTGGGTAGGGGTGGAGAATTGGATATTTTTTGCATAGTAGGCAAGGGCGGTGAATTGGCCAGGGCTTGATTTTGCAAAGCACGAGCTTGTAATGTAGGCAGGGAAGGTGATTGTGATCGAGTTTCATTGAATGCAGATGTCATCGCTTTGGTGACATCCAAAGCTGGAGAGTTGGATCTCGCCTCAATTGCCATTGTGGCATTTTGGGGCAAATTATCATCAACATCCATGGGTGCATAACTTGTGTCCATTGGTGTTGGCTCTTCACTGGATATATTAAATGTGCGCCTTGTCTTTGCCTCCTCCGTTTTGTTGGATTGTTCTGAAACATCATTAAGACAAAAAGTACGTCTAGTATTTTCCGATTTTTCTTTTGTAGGGAATGTAGTACCCAATTGTGGTGGAACTTCCTCGCCTTGTACATTGAAGGTTAAACGTTTGTTTTCTGCCGGCACATTATTAGAAGATTCATCCATATTAAATGTGAGACGCTTATTCTCTTCACGAACGGGCAGAACACTAGCCTGATCCACACCAAAAGTACGACGATTTGTATTCTTCCCTGGTGGTGCTGGGTGCACAAATGTTCCATTCATATCACCATTTCCACTAGCATCTTCACAGGCCTTACTTTCCAGGTTTGCTGTGTAGTCAGACTTCTCCAAAAACGTTGGTTTTGGAGAATCTATTTTTAATTTTGGAGACTGGGGGAAGGAGCTGTCACTTGTCGTTTTTTTAATGGGAAACGATGGCGAATTGGGGGCCGAGGATTTAAGGCTGCCCGTAGAAGTACTTAGAGATGTAGTTACATTTAATTTGGATGTTGGACTTTTGCATGAGACACTACTGGAGTTGCTGGTGTTCATAACATTAATGGTCAAATTCTTTTGATCCATGGAATTAGATGCTGTCGATTCTTTGGTAGTATCAAGATTTTCTTTTTCTCCAGCCTCCACTGTCGCACCACTTTCATTGTTGACTGTTGATATAACACATTCGGAACTCAATGTTTTGGATTTATTCAAAGGTAGTTCAATACTTTTATTCAAAGAAATATCATGATTGGATTTCTCCATTTCCAAATGTTGGACGACGTCTTTTGGTTTGTTTGGAATATTGGCTGGATTTATGACAAAGGTCATTTTTGAAGATTCCGTTGGCTTGGCAATGGAACCAATTATTTTTATTTCTACCTCCTCCTCCTTGTTCTCCGCTTTAGCTTCCATTTTGCTTGCAATTGGCTGGGTTGGTCCCTCCAGGTTTTGCAATATATTCTCGGCATGTTGTATGGCCTTTTCCACGTTTTCAATATTTTGGGCGGAATTTTGTATCATTTCCATGGTGGCATTCATATCCACATCCATGGGTTCCTCCTCATAGTCAAGTGAGGCAGGAATTTCTTGTTGTGGATGTGAGGCAATAGCTTCTTCGATAGCATGTGTTTGATAACCTCCTACATCCATTGTTGCATCTGCATCACCATCATCCAGCAAGGCACTTTCATAACATTCACCATCTCCAACTTCCACTGTGGTATTCAATGCAGGCTGTTCAGCGAATGTTGTGGCCAAGGGATCTCTATCTTCTACGCCATTTCCATCCTGACAATCGGCAAATGTCTCATTTGCCGATGACATGGAAGTGTTATCCCCTTCATTTGGCAATGAAAGGCGTACCTTTTTTGTTTGTAATTCTGTGAAGATGGTCAAAATGTATGTTTTTATTATTTGCAATTTTGGAAAGGAGAGAAAATGTTACCTTTTGCTTTCAGACTAGCTGTCAATGTTGGTATAAAACATTCTTCGAATGTTACATTGTATTGATCTATGAAAAATGCATAAGAAATAATTTGTCAAAAAGAAGCCTTTCGCTGCAATAATTTTGAAAAATCAAAGTTGTGTACCAATTACTAATCATGCTTTAGAAAAAGGGGGTTCATGTGCTTATACTGCAAAGCATTGAGTTGCCAATGCAAAAGCAGCATTCTATATAGTAAGCTATTTTTATGTTCTATATGATATCCCTAAGTTATGTGAAAAAAAGTAAGCTGGCTGAGGATGTAAGGATGAGGATGAGGATGGCCCCCACTTTGAAGTCCTGGCCCTTATGTTGCAGTGACCTACCATATGCTATTAGAGACTAGATCTACCACCTCTGGCCAATTCATTTGCTGATTCATTGCCTAATTGCCGAAGGTAGCTTTGTCCAAGCTTGCCACCATACTAGTCCCCCATAAATTAGTATTGGCCGAACAACTGATTCGTAAAACCATTTTATTATATGTGGCTTAATCCGATAGATTCAAACAAAAATGGCTAGATGAGAGGTGATGTAATGACCCTAAGAAAATCTGGTCTATAATCTCCGAGAAGAGAACAAGATCACTCATCTCCATGGAGGAATATGACCTAAAACTTGTGGTGGGTATCATGACGGTAACCAACACAGACCTTGCAGTATTTTTATACCCTCCACCATTCTATGGAGGGTATATTAACTTTGTCATTCCGTTTGTAACTCCTCGAAATATTCATAATAGACCCTACAAAGTATATATATTCTAGATCAGTGTAAAATTCTAAAACGATCTAGCCATGCCGTCTGTCTGTCTGTTGCAATCACGATATTTATCTATCACGATATAGAAGGCTTGAATTGAGATAGAAGGCTAAAATTTTGCATATATGAATAGTTTACCCGTAGGCAGGTTAAGTTCGTAAATGGGCCATGTCGGTCCACGTTTTCGTATAGCCCCCATATAATGGTACCTCCCGATATTCGGTATTTTCATGATTTTTGCGACATTATTTACCGGAATTATTTAAAATTTCTTATTTGAAGTTCGTAACGGGTACTGCAGCCTATGAAAACAATTTTTATATGTAGGTCCAGGTTAATGTTCGCATTGGGCACATGACAAAAAAAATTTCGTATGCAGGTCCACGTCTTCGTAAAGTCCCCATACAACGGTTTTCATTTAAGTGGTAGTTTTCGGGATTTCTTTTTTAAATTTCCTTCGAAATAGTGGAGGGTATTAAAAGTGCGGCTTAGATGATTTCTTACTTGTTTTAATTAGAAAGAAGATTAAAGTGGCTAAAGACGAAAAGATGATTTTTTTAGTCGTGGATTGCCATTTTCTTTAACTAACAGATCTCCGAGAACCCTAGGACGACCTCGTACAACGCGTCTACTGAATTTCGAAAAATCTTGTTAGCCAGATATGTATTTATTATACTTTATTTATTTGATATTTGATCATTTCCAAAATGCCGTCTGGTTTAAATTAAATCCAGCTGGACGAATTATGTCCTTCTAATTATAGTAATAATTAAGTGTTATTTATTCGGTATAGTAATTGTTAGGAGTTGACCAGTCGTCTTGTTATATACCAGGTTTAATAACTTTTTTGTTAATAACCATCAACATTTCGCGACCCCCATGATTAGTAACAGGTACATAAGTTACATTATGAGAAATTCAATAATCTACTTACCTTCAATATTAGGATTTAAATCTCCTGGTAATTCTGGTATTTTTGCCTCATCGAATTCCGTTAGACCTGTGTTGGAGAGCAGTTAAATATGTCAATTTAGTAAATTATTAAAAGACCAATTTGCCGCAGACAAAACAACATACCCACAAACTTATTTGATGATTTATTAGCAGCAACGCCCGATGTATTTTGCGATTCCATTGCGGCTGTCTGTTGTTGGTGGTCATCAAAGAGACCAGTTGCCAAATCTGGATCGACATGAAATTTATGCAAAGTTGAATTGGCCTCAAAGACGGCAGGCGATGTAGCAGCTGGACCAGCAGCTGTCGTTTGTTGTGGGGCTCCATTGTTGGTGGGAGTTTTTGGTGTGGTTTTAGAGTTGTTCAATGAGTTCTTTGAGGATAGGGGGCTGTGCTGTAAATACAAAGGGGAGAATATTTGTAAATATTGTTATTTAAGGTTTAAATAAAGAGGTATTTATAGTGGTTTCGGCAATTGTTTATGTATTAATATTGGCAAAATTTCGTTTTAAAATACAAAATAAATTCCTTTAAAACGAAAAATATTTCTCTTGTGAATCTCTTGGTTTGCATGTTGTTGTGGTGGGTTAAATCCGTTTATATTTAATATATTCAAAATCAATGTCATGTTCAGATATGCTTGCATGTTTGTTGTAGTTTATCCACCGTCTGGTAAAGAAAATCTTTTTTTCTTTCTCTTCAAACAACTAAATTTTCACAAATGAAAATGGAAAAAGGCAAACTTATCATCGTTGGTCCCTCCCGACTTCGACTTGGTGGTGCAGCATGGCCATGCAAACGAACGAACCAACTTTTTACAAAAAAAAAAAAAAAAATCTTAACGGCACGTAAATGCACATCAAATCACAAACATATATAATATACCCCCCAGAGGAACGAACAAACGTATGTACGGTACGGTACATATTAAGCAAATTATTTTTTTCTTTACAAATTTTGTTGTTAATTTTGCAAACATGACAAAACTAGAAATGCCACGATAAAGCAAATAAAATGTGGCTCTGCAACAGACCATTTCACAACGGATTGCTTTTCTGCCTAATAATCATGGGAATGTATTTGGACGTTGAAAAAAAGGGTTCATCTCATCGCGTCATGCAATCAGAATAAAATTAGATGACAAATTCTCAGAGGCACAACATGGGCCAACTACAGATTAATAAATTTATTTGAAATACATTCAACATTATATTATTAATTATATGTGACGTTGATTATTTTAGCAGCAAATGTTTTGTGGTGCCGTTATGAATAATGCGATTGCATTTGCAGTCGTTTCGTCCATAAACAAAAGGGATATTGTGGAAAGGTTTCAAGAAGAAGTGATAGAGATAATAGGGAAAGGTGCAAAATTTGAGGAAATACAATGAAATTAAAATAAATACTTTTTATAGTCAGGGATATTTTCAATTTTTTAGACATTCTTTACACCCGATGTTTTTATCCACATATGTACTTGACAGGGACGTATAGACTCGTAAGAAACGAGTATAGTATAGCGGCCTATACTGACGGTTCTAAGAAGGAATGTGGGACTAGTGCTGGTGTCTTCTGTGATAACCTTAGCATTAAAAATCCTATTCCCGATTGTAGGGGATTTCAGGCAGAAACCTTTGCGGCTAAAAAATCAAACAGGAACTGTGAAGATGACGGTCCGGCGACTATACAGGTTGAGATAAAAAAAAAACTGCAACAAAGTCGCAAAAATGTTTACATTTTTTTAAATTTTATTGAATGAAAACGAAAAACGTCGGAAATAGAATCAAATTTTAGAATGAGTTTAGATTTGTTCGAATTGGTCACCTTTGACACAAATTATTTCCTTCAAACGGCCAATGAAACCGTCACACTCTGCCCAAATGTAGCTCTGCGTCATTTTGGCCCATTGCCGGCGAAGCGTTTGCTTGAGGTGATCGACACTTTGGTATTTTGGTGGCCATTGTGCGCTGGAAATGAAGCAAGGAACCTCGTTTTGTAACTATTCCTGGAGAGCGACCCTCGGCTGTTATGGCGGCCCACACCTTTAAATTCTTCTACCATTAAATCTATGGCGGTTTTGAAGTGTTGAGAAGAAGAAGGAAAAAAACTAGGTTGTGCATCAAGTTCTTTTGATTTCCAGGCCATTGCAATACTCCAGGCAATAAGGCAGCAGTGTGATACACAAACACTACTCCGGGAGATTTTAACAAAAATGACTAGATGAAAGAGGATTTAATGTGCCTAAGAAGATCTGGCCTGTAAACCCTTAGAAAAAAATAAGGTCGCTCATTTTCATGGCAAAACCTGATCTGAAACTAGTGGTGGGTAGTATCGTCAGAGATCAATATATCGTAAGAACAATAACTTCTAAATGGTGTAGCGATGATACTGCATGCTGTAGTTTCTGCCAAAATGAGGAGGAAACTCCGACAGTCTCATCAATGTGAGACACAGGATTGTGGAAGGGCAAATAATACGCGATTTGTCCCTAACACAGAAGCAGCACAAATTCTTCAGTTAGCCAGAAGATTAAAGTGGCTAAAGCCGACACAATAAATTCTTGTTCGTGGATTACAATTTACGATTATTATTTTTTCATAGTTTTTTCTTTTCGATTGGAGCGTCCTTAAAACTAACTTTCAACCCGACCCGACGGCTTGGAAATTATTCATCACAAGAATTAAATAAATGTACAGAAATACGTGCAACGAGCAGATTTTGACGCTGATAGCAGCCACATTTAACGACGTAACGGTCACTGCTCCGAAGAGGTGCTGGAAAGTGATAGGGCGAAGCGAGGAGTACGGGAGTCGAATATCTTAGCAAAGTCCCAAAACCTGTCGTTAGCCACCCACAACACGGTTTCCGTCTACAGCACAGTACCACAACTGCATTGCACGCCACACCCACACATATTAGTCGAGGACTCAACCAGAACAGAGAGCAACGCAATGCAAAAGTACTAAGACCTGCCAGAATACCGCTCTGAAAACAGCAGAGCTGCCTGTTCATGTTTCCAGGGGACCATTTACATGCGAAGACTAAGGTTCTTACCTTAAGTCAGCATAAGCATAGGCTTTCGTTGCAGTACTTACTTGGGTATTACAGTGTGGATCATCATAACTATTATATGGTGGATAGAACTCCCTTACCCAGGCGTGTCAGGAATCACATACATGATCTAGAGAGGGAGGTGCAACGCTGTAAGAGAAAGCCTCAAGGTCAGTAATCCCATCAGGCAGGTCTGAGTAGCATTCATATTAATGCAGTCGCCGATGTAGTTAATCATTCAATCATCTATTGCAGCCGAAGAAAGTCGGCTGCTTAGATAAAGCAGGGAAGTTTTGGCGCAATTACGTTCAGTATGGTGCAGTCGTCTCAATTCGTATTAGGCGCGAATTGATCGAATTTAATCCAGAGGATTTTTAGCTACAGCCCATAAGAGTAGTTAACTACCTTAAACTGGACATTGAATCAGAACCCGATTAGCAGTTCATTAAACTCAACATATATTACTGCAACAAGAACAACAGCCACAACGAATACTCTTAATTACGCCATTGGGCAAGATTGACGAAGCTCTCTTAATCTATCTAAGCTTTAAAATCAAAGATCGACCGTACAATCGTCCACCTTAAATTCAGTCTACTCTCACTCTTTATGCTCTCAATGCTTAAAAAACGACAGACCACACAAAACAAGCCTGGTCTGCATATCCTTAAATTTAAATGAATTTTCGTATGCATTCCGTTGCATATGAACTTTCATGATAGTCTCTACCAAAACACATTCCAATGTGTTTCCTTGCCTTTCCACACATTAACCTTATAATTCTATAAACAAACAGGCTTTTGTTTGTTTACATTCTTTCAGCAGGGATACCATTGCCCGCTGCAGGTCAGTTGCCGGTGGTATGGTACTACTTTGTTGAATAATTTAGTTATTCGTTGTTGATGCTTTGCTCTCCACCAGCCAGAGTAGAGGTCATTGTGTTATTTAACAACATTAACATGGAAATAAATAAGGTAGCCACAGCTAGCCAGCCAGCCTATGCACCAGCAGCACAGCTGTTCCGTCCGATCGCCCACATTAGTCGTACGCCTTTCATTGTGTTTTTGCTCTGGAGTGCGGCAACATATTGCGGTGGCTGCTGAATGTTTAAACTTTGTTTTGTTTTCTAATTAAATTACGGAGGAAATTTGATTTAAAATGGCATTTAAACAATTAAAAAGCATGAGAGTGAGAGCACGAGTTGGGAGAAGTGAAAAAAAAATTGGAACATAAGAATATTGTCTACATAGAAATTGCCAGTTGCAGTCCGAGAAATAATTCAAATTTATAATTCAAATTCAAAACGGTATATAACTGTTGGGGCAACCCACATTAACAATATGGCATCTCATATTGCAACATCCTATACGGCAACGCCCATATAATAGGACGCCGTGCTACCGCCATTTTAGCTTGCTCAGTCTTGTTTTGTCTGTCACTCGAGTCTGACTCACTACATTGTAACTTCGACATTCTTTTTAAATTAGTAGCTGTGAACGCTCATCATCCAATAAATCTTTACACCTTTAGTATTAACAAACATTGGCTTTTATTTCAAACCATAAAAGCACAACAAAAGTGGCGACGAGGATAGTGGAAATTGATCAATAATTGCACACACAACAATCCGCAAAAATGTCTCAAGACATAATTCTACAATTGTTAACAGAGCAACAAAAAGCAATGTCGCAACAAACGCAACTGCTAAAGCATATGGCTGATCTTCTTCAAGCACAAGGAGCACCAAATTCACCACACTCACCACAAACATCAAATTCATCCAAAGCAGCACTAATGGAATCACTAGCACAGTCAATGACAGCATTCGTATACGAGCCAGAGAGCGGTCTGATATTTCAAGCGTGGTACAACAGGTTTGTGCATGTTTTCGAAAAAGAAGCAAGCTCACTCGAAGAACATGACAAAGTGGCCTTGTTATGGAGAAAAATGTCGAACCAAGTACATGAAAGATTTGCCAACTACGTATTACCAGCAAAACCTGAAGACATGACTCTAAAGGATACAGTAGAGAAACTCAAGAAACTCTTTGGTAAAACAGAAACACAAGTCTCACAAAGATACAAATGCCTTCAGCTAGCAAAAGGCGACAGCGAAGATTTCAGAGAATACGCAAGCAGAGTAAACCTACAATGCGAACTATTCAAAATGAAAGAAATGAAAATCGACCAATTCAAATGTCTCATTTTCGTCTTAGGACTCAAGTCAGCAAAGGACAACGACATAAGACTTCGCTTACTAAAGGTACTGGATGATGAAAACACTACAATGAACCTAGATCAACTAGTAGACGAAACACAACGAATTCTAGATCTCAAATCGGACAACATTCTCATTGAACATCAATCAAAAATCGTCTGTTCACTCAACAAGCACGCAAAAGACTTTAAGAAGCACAAAACACCCAATTCACCCTGTTGGTATTGCGGAGACCTTCACTACGTCAAATTTTGTCCTTTCCAGAAACATAAATGCACAACATGCAATCAAGTGGGTCATAAAAATAACTTTTGCAACATCGCTAAGACTGGTAAGAATTTCAAATCATCGTCTGAAAACAACCAGAACGAATTCAAGAAATACAGCAATTCAAGGAAATCATCCAAAACTAAGGCAGTTTTCAAAACACACAACATTAATTTCCGCGACTTAAGGAAATACACAACTGTCCTAATTAACAACAATCCTGTAAAACTTCAAATTGATACTGCATCAGACATATCAATTGTATCTATCAACACATGGAAAGCTATAGGTAAGCCTGAAGCCTACGAAACTTTTGACAACGCTAGCGACGCAAACGCAAACTCAATCAAGCTCCTAGCAGAATTTCAATGTGACGTCACAATCGACAAAACATCAAAAACATTAAAATGTTATATAACAGATATAGAAAAACTCAATATCATGGGAATCGATTGGATTCAAGCATTCAATCTATGGCAGAAACCAATAACCTCATGGTGTCATCAAATAAACTTCGTTGATGAAATAGCAGAATTGAAAACGAATTATCAATCAGTTTTTGATAACAGTACCCCAGGTCTGTGCAAAACAAAAGTCAACATACAATTATTGCCAAACACAAAAGAAATATTCGTTCCCAAACGACCAGTTCCTTTCGCAGCAAGAATGGAAATTGAAACAGAACTCCTCAGATTAGAAAACGCAGGAATAATCACACCGGTAGATTCATCGAGGTACGCAGCGCCGATAGTGGTCAGCAAACGTAATGGAAAAATTCGAATATGTGCAGACTATTCAACAGGACTAAACTCAATAGTAGAACCTAATCAGTATCCATTACCAACACCGGAAGAAATCATGTCTGATTGCCACAACTGTGTAATCTTTAGTCACTTAGATCTCTCAGACGCATACTTACAAGTCGAAGTTGACGACGAAAGTAAAGAGCTTCTCACCATCAATACACACAAAGGTCTATATAAGTTCAACCGTCTAACCCCAGGTATAAAATCAGCTCCGGGAGCATTTCAAAGGATCATGGATAAGCTATGCGCAGGCATAGAAGGAGCAAAAGCATATATAGACGACATCATGTTATCAAGTCCATCTATTCCGGAACATAAATTAAATTTAAACAAGCTTTTACAAAGAATTCAAGATCACGGATTCAAGCTGAAATTTGAAAAATGCCAATTCTTTCAAAAACAAATCAAATATCTAGGACACATAATAAGCAAAGATGGAATCAAACCTGACCCAATCAAAATAGCAGCCGTTCAAAATCTTAAAACACCAGAAAACGTCTCGGAAGTAAGATCGTTATTAGGCTCTATTAATCATTACGGGAAATTTGTAAACAACATGAGAACACTACGTAAACCTCTTGACGATCTACTAAAAAAGGACGCCAAGTTCGAGTGGACGTCACAGTGTCAAAAATCATTAAACGACTTTAAGAACATCTTGACATCAGATCTTCTTTTAACGCATTACAATCCGAACTTGCCTATACATGTAGCAGCCGATGCATCATCTCACGGAATCGGCGCGGTTATCTATCATATGTTTCCAGACAACACTATGAAGGCAATACATCATATTTCCAGATCACTCACACAAGCGGAAAAGAATTACAGCCAAATAGAAAAAGAAGGCCTAGCCCTTATATTCGCCGTTCAACGGTTTCACAAAATGTTATTCGGACGCAAATTTACTTTACACACCGATCACAAACCCTTACTCGCAATATTTGGTTCAAAGAAGGGAGTTCCAATTTACACAGCAAATCGTTTACAACGATGGGCCCTTATATTACTGGCTTACAACTTCGAAATTAAATACACAAACACAAAGGACTTTGGTCACGCTGATGTATTATCAAGATTAGTCAACAATCACGAAAAACCAGCAGATGACTTTATAGTGGCTTCAATATCATTCGAAGAAGACATACGTAACGAGATAAATGAAACTATGTCAGTTCTCCCAGTATCATTTAAAATGATCGTCGATGCAACAACAAAAGACACGGATTTACAAATGGTCCTCAAATACATTCAAACAGAATGGCCAGAAAGCAAGAAAAATATTAACCCATCAATTATTCAATTTTTCAACCGCAAGGAAAATCTTTCAACCTTCGATGGTTGTATTCTCTTCAATAATCGTATAGTAATTCCTAAATCATATCAGAGACAAATCTTACAACAACTTCACAGAGGACACTTATCAGCAGAACGCAGCAAAGCCATCGCCAGAAGTTATGTTTATTGGCCAAACATCGACAAACAAATTGAAGACTTTGTTCGGAAATGCAAAAATTGTCAACATGCGGCAAAAAGTCCAGTAAAAACAAATCTTTGCCCATGGCCATTAACTTCACACCCTCTTGAAAGGATACATATAGACTATGCTGGTCCAGAAAAAGGTAAATATTATCTTCTTATCATCGACTCGTATTCAAAATACCCTGTTATATACGAGACAACAACGACAACCACATATGCAACATTAAAAATGTTAAACGAATATTGTGCACTCTTCGGAAATCCTGAACAATTGGTCTCGGACAACGGAACACAGTTCTGTTCAGAACAATTTGAGAAGTGGTGCAGCAAAAAAGGCATTAAACACACAAGGACTGTTCGTTTTCATCCAAGTTCAAATGGACAAGCCGAGCGTTTCGTTGATACACTTAAACGTGCATTAAAAAAACTAGAAGGGGAAGAAACGCCTACGGAATCTCTCCAAACCTTCCTAGAAGTCTACAGATCCACACCAAATCCAAATGCACCAGAAGGTAAGTCTCCAGCAGAATCCTTCATCGGAAGAAAAATGAGAACGGTCTTCGACGTTCTAAGGAAGCAACAATCGCCTGAGTATAACGTCAATCACAAAATGGAACAGCAGTACAATACCAAACACGGTACCAAAAACAGAGAGTTTAGCAACGGAGAATTGGTCTATGCCAGAAACTTCAAAGGAAACAAAAGTTACTGGACAACAGGCGAAATAGTCGAGCGTAAAGGGAAAGTCATTTACAACACTCTAATCGACGTTGGGGACAGGAAAATTCTAGTACGAGCTCATACTGATCAACTTCGACATAGAGAATCGGTAGAGTCAAGCAGTCAAGAACGACAAAAACTACCATTGGACGTACTACTTGAAGAATTCGAAATCGCTTTGCCTAACCATCAAGAACATTTTGCAACTCCAACAGGTTCACCAAACTGGACACCTCAAAGAATAACAAGTCGCAGACAACCAGTCGAACCTATTTCAAGATCACCTTCTCATCTTAAGGAGGGAGATGTTGGGGCAACCCACATTAACAATATGGCATCTCATATTGCAACATCCTATACGGCAACGCCCATATAATAGGACGCCGTGCTACCGCCATTTTAGCTTGCTCAGTCTTGTTTTGTCTGTCACTCGAGTCTGACTCACTACATTGTAACTTCGACATTCTTTTTAAATTAGTAGCTGTGAACGCTCATCATCCAATAAATCTTTACACCTTTAGTATTAACAAACATTGGCTTTTATTTCAAACCATAAAAGCACAACAATAACAGTGAATAAAAATGAAAAAAATCAAACATTTGGGAGGGATGTTCACTCCTTCAAAAGCATCCGAGAGTAGATATACACACTTGATGTAATATTACCCCAAAGAATTGAGTGTTGTGGAATGGTAGTGCAAGGAGTGCTCGAAAAATTTCACCTGAGATAAGTTACATAAAAAACAAGTAAAACAGTATTAGGCGGTTTTGCCGACAGATTTATACCCACAGACAATGTTCGATTAATTGAATATATTTCCGCTTTTGTTATGATTATTTAAACTGCTGACCCTTTATGAGGAAAGTTCCGAAGCAGTTGGCCAATACTGACCAATTCGTAGTTGACCTAAGACTGATAAAAAAAAATTACATCGTGCCAGATTTGGACTAATTAGTATACTTTATATGAGATATGTAGGTGCAAATTTTCGGAAAATATGGAATATGCGTGAGGTAACAGATGTAGGGGACCATAACAGATCTTATGTTGAGGGAAATATTGAGAAGTACCCAGTCTGAATGGAACGAATGTTAATTTCGCGTTTTATGAGCTTTATGAATACTTAAAACTTTGACCCTTTGTGGGGGAGGTACCAGAAGGGGTTCGTAGATATATTCCATTTTTACACCAGGCCTTGGTTTTATAAAAATATTGTGATGTGTGTAATTTTTAGAGAAACGGGTGTTTATTTCGGATTTTATGATGGTTTTGGTTATTCAAAATTTTGACCCTTTATGTGGGAGGTACCAGAAGAAATGGTCCGATCTCTACCATCTTTATAACAGATATTGCGTTGATGGAAATATGGAGATGTGCCAAGTCGGAATAGATTTCGTGTTTTATGAGCTTAATGAATATTCAAAATTTTGACCCTTTGTGCCAGAAGGAGTGAACATATATATTTCACCTTCACACCAGACCACGGGTTTATAAAAATATTGCGATCACTGTAATTTGAAGACAATTGGATGCTTACACCACATGTTATAAGAGCTAAAATTATTCAAAATTTTGAACGTTTGTGGGAAAGGTACTTGATGGAGTGTACCGATATTGTCCATTTTCACACCTCACTTAGCACTGATGTAAATATTAGAATTTGCAAAGTTGAACCAAAATCGAATTATCCTTTCTCTTTATGTGCAGTAAATTAATTTCTTTGAAAATGTTGACATTTTGTGGGGGAAGGTACCAGAAGGAGTGGACCGATATTGCCCATCTCCGAAATCGATCTAAGTTTGACAATAATATTTCGATGTACCAAGTTTGGATCAAATCGGATACTCCCTTCGAGAGATATCGTGCGCACCAGCCAGCGAGACAGACGGACGGACGGACATCGCTAGACCGACTCCAAATGACCTGAAATGGATTTGGTCCAAAGAGACCTAGGGTCTAAAACCTTTATTTCGATGAGGCACTTTATACCAGAAGAAGTTGACCGATATTGGTAAACGTATTGCAATGAACCATGTTTGCTTCAAACCGCATAACGTACGCTATAGACAGACAGACAAATTGGCCTCAAATCGAACTCAAATTTCCAAAACCGGATATCGTTCAAATACACAATACTGGCGTCTCTTGATCTCTGTAGCAATAATGTTAAGGGTATAAACATACATATGTTTCCCATTGCAAATATCAAAACGTTTCCTTAATATTTGCCTCCCAAACAAATGCCGACCACACAACAAATCTGAAATTGCGTAGCATTTAAATTATATAAATATATATTATTTTATCAGATGAAAAATTAGAACAAAAGAGAATAGAAACAAAAACAAGAGGAGAAAAACTGAAATGAAAATTTGCATATTTCTGTTAATTTAATTGAAAGTGACAAATGGTTGTGAATGAAACGACGGACGGGACGACACACAAAAATAAGAACATTGACAATTAGAAGAAATGAATACACGACTGAAACAATTGCAAACAAAATGAGGCGCGAATGGCTGCCTAGCTAGCTAGCCATAGAAAAAACCATGGTCAATAGGCCAACGTCCAAGCAATTTGGCGAAAAGTGGACACACACCAAAATGCCCATTTTTCAAATTGTTGTGCACATCTACACTTTGGTTACAATGGTGCTAAAGGGGGAGAAGCGAGAGGTGCATTTTGTTAAAAACTAATTGCGTAAATTTACCTCAGATTTTTGAGGAGGCGATGCAATGGCCAAAACTTCATCATTAATACCGGCCAATGTGAGATTATCTGTAATTTCCGATAAAAGTTCATCAATGGTCTGTGACGCCGTCATTGATGAGGTGAGCACTGGGGGAGGTGGTGGTGGTGAAGGAGTCTGCGATTGCATACTGCTATCATCATCGGGTGGCAGAAGTAATGGCGGCGGTGGTGGTGGCAAATATTCTTCGTCGAATTCTTTTAGTATTTCCTCGGGAACTCCAATGAAATCGGTAATATTGCCATTCAACGAAGAGGTTAGGGATGTTATGGGACGTTCAGTGGCTTCTTGATGTTCATAGTAGGATATCTCTATTTGTGGTTTCGGCATTTCATCGCAACTGTTTGGAAGATCTTTATTGGTTTGTTGAAGTTCCTGTGGTTCGGCATTTGAATTGTTTTCAGATTGATTTTCTTGTGAACCGCGGTTAGGCTCAGATGATCCTTTTGAATTATCCTGAAGATTTAAGGGAATTTCCTCTGCTTTCTTCTCTTTGTCATTGGACTTTACTTCTGTTTGAGATTCTTCCAAAGTATTTTGGGTGAGAATATTTCCTTGTGCCTCATTTTCCTTTTGCTTGTTAATGTTTTCTTGAATTTGAGATTGTTGATGAGGACTGTTCAGATTCTGACAAGATTCTTGGTTATTTATAGCCGAAATATCTTCCAATTTTAGCTGCTGGGGAATTTCTTGTTCTCCTGCACCAGGTGAATTTATTATGTCCTCCTGTTTTTCTGAAGAGGCTTCTTGGGAATTTGGTAACTCTCGTTCAATAATCTTTACATTTGAAGGTATTTGAGAAATGCCTACAGCAGCTTTAGCTTCAACTTCTTCAGTTACATCTAGAACTTCTTTTTCTTCAGTGTTACTAGATGGAGCATCGGATTTTCGATTTTCAATATTTTGAGAATTTTTCGAATTGTTACTTTCTTCATTTTCTGTAGGAGTTTGCACGGACATTTGCCCTTGCTCCTCAGAGGCTGCACATTTTTTGAATTCCTCATTTGTATTGTCAATTTCCGTTGCTTTTTCTTCAGCTCTTTCCTGAGTAATATCTTCAACATTTATCTGGGGGTTTTCAGGATTGGTTTGGTTTTCCGATTCTTGATCTTTACTTTCTGTGCTCTGACAAATTTTATGCAACATATCCTTGTTAATTTCTTCCTGACTTATATTTTGTCCTTCAATGACCTTATCCTTATTATTCAAATCTGTACATTTCTCTTCCATAACATTATTTTGAAGATTTTCAGGATTATTTAGATTTTTAAATTCTGAATCTCTATTGTCTGTGTCCTCACAATTTTTGTCCGGAATATCATTTTTAAGATCTCCCTGTTTAACATCACTCACATTTTGACCTTCAAGGACTTGATCTTCATTTTTTAAATTCTCAGTTTTTCCTTGTTCAACATTCTTTTGAAGGGTTTCGAGATGTTTTTGTTGCTCATCACAGCTGCCACTATCCTTGGCGTGATTATTTAAATCAGGAGATTTTTCTTTTGTGACATTCTTATCCCCAGTTTCATTTTGGTTTAAATCACAGCCAATTGGATCTTGATTTTGATTTTGTGTTCTATTTGAATTTTCAACCACACAATTTTTCTGAGTAAACGCAATTTCTTCATGTTTACCATTCGTTTTGATTTGCTGCTTATTTTCCATTGGAACAACTCCTCCTCCTGCCTTTTGATGTACTTCCATATTTTCCATTTCCTGAACTCCCTTTACGAATGAATTTAACTCTTCCTGAGAGATTTCCATATTTTCCAAGGAATTAATTTTATTTTGAAGAATTTCCACATCTTCCAAGCTACCAATTGTGGTTGGACGGGATGTGGAATTGGGTCTTGGTGTACTATCATCAGCTGTAGTCTGTTGTTGTTCTTTTTCCATTTTTAAATCCTTTTCCTTATTTTCTTCATTCTCAAAGCTACCAATTGTTGTGGGTCGAGATGTGGGTGATTCCTGTGGCTTATCCGTGACCTCACCACCACCGCTGACTAAACTTACTGGTCGTTTGATTAAATTTGAAATGAATTCCATTTTTTTTAATATTCAAAAAGGGTGTGGAGTCTCCTCCTCAAGACTTTGAAAGATATGCTTGAATGCCCGTCTTTTTTGTTTTATTGCCGATTTTTTTCTAAGTTTGGAAAAATCAATTTCACTTTTTTTTTTGCTAAGAATTAAAAAACTTGAAAAATCACGTAATTATTTTACGCTTCACACACACACGCACATGTATTTTTTTCGTGATTTAAATTGATTACGCCGCTTTCTTAAATGATTTTAATATTCGGAACGAAGATGTGAGAACACTTATTTGTTTTGCTTGATTTACAACATTGACAATTGAATATTTTCTTTTCCAAATTAAAACATTTTGAGGAAAATTTGTTTTTTTTTTCTTGGATTCCCTTTCCTTTTTAATATTCCTTAATTATGCCACGATTTAAACGATTAGTTTGCTATTTTGGCTTGCCGATCTGCCAACCGCCGTATCCACACACGTTTCTCGGGCGTTTGAAATTCACATTCGATTCAATTTTTTGGTTGCTTTTCTTTTGGTTTTCAGAAATTTTGACTTTTCCCTCTTTTTCAAGTGTTTTCTCTGTTGCATGAGGCACTCGCTCTCACCCATATGTTTTCATTCCTCAGCTAGAGGCGGGGCGGCAGGCAAGTGAGGGTGGATGAATGGGTGGCAAGGAGCAAAGACTTGATCATTTCTTTCTCTCTACATATGAATGAATGCAACCAGAAACAAAAACAACAATAACAACCGCAAGTAAAATACTCTCATCAATGCCGGGAAAATTTAGTTTCATTTTTTCTTTTTGTTTAGATTCGAATCATATGGGGTTTGTTTTTGTGTTTATTTGAGCTATTTTGAATTTGCTCTTGATCTCATTGAACACACAGCACAACACGGTGCTGGCTGCTCATGTCTAATGATGGGTGTCGTCGGTCCTGTAGTTGGCGGCTGTTGTTTTTTTGCTGTGTCTGGCCTAATCTAAAATGTCTCGAATCTCCCTCAGGTTTCTTTGGGTGTTTTCTTTGAGAGGGGGTAGAGGAAGCATAACCTTTAAACATTTTTTTTGCTTATTTTTTTCTTAAAATGTTTTGGTGTCAAAAATATTTCGTTTTTGTTTAGAACATTTTTTTTTTGAGATTAGTGTCGTTTGGAGGATGATTATTCGAATAAATCTAAATCATCAATCTATTTTGTCCAATATTCCGGTTTTACTGTTTCCTTCTGTATTTTTATACCCTACAACACATAGTGGTAAGGGTATTATGTCTTTGTCCACTTGTTTGAGGATCTTCATAGAATCACTTTCTAAGTAGATTTATGCATGTCAGTCCGTCTGTCCATGTATTTTTGTGAAATAAATGCAGTTCGCATTTATTATCCGATTGAGATGAAATTTTCCAAAAAAATTTGTTTGGCCCAAGGACGAAACCTATTGAAATTAATGAGAATCGGTTCAAATTTAGATATAGCTCTCATATATATCTTCAACCGATTTCGGGTTAACTGTGCTCCAATGGGCCAATTCAGTCCAAATGGCCTAAATTTTGGCACATCCCAATAAATTCAATCTAGAAGCAAGTACATCAAAATCGGTTCAGGTATAACTATAGCTCCCATATATATGTTTTATTCGATTTGGAGTTTTAAGTCCCTCACATGCGTAATATGGCTTCCACAACAATGATATTTGGTACTTGATATCAGATACAGCTCAGAAATAAGTACCTAACATGTTGTCACGATCGGTTCAGATTTGGATATAGCTACCTTATATATCTTCAAACGATGTCGGGTTAATTGTGCACCAAATGGCAAATATCAGTTCAAATGACCTGCATTTTGGCACATCTGACCGAATTCTGCCTAGAAGCAAGTACGTTAAATTTAATGAAAATCGGTTCAGATATAGCTATACTCCCACATATATGTTTCATACGATTTGGGGTTATAAGTCCCTTACATGCGTAATATGCACTCCACAAGAATAATATTTGAAACCAGATATCAGATATAGCGCAGAAATACCTCTGTCAAATTTTATTGAGATCGGATCAGATTTGGATATACCTCCCATATGTATCTTTATCCGATATCAGATTTATTGTGCATCAAATGGCTAATGTCAGGCCAAATGGAATGGAATTTGGCACTTCCAACGGAATATTTGATACCGGACATCAGATACAGCTCGAAAAAACCTCTGCCAAATTTTATCGAGATCGGTTCAGATTTTTATATACCTGATAATGCACTATGCAACAATGTTATTTGTTGCTTTATATAATAGACAATTTTGTTCTCTACCTTCCGGCAATTATTCCCTTTGTAATTTTTAACAAAATATGTAGATTGATGTAAGGTACCATAAAGTGAGGATTTGCAGCTGCTTTACAAAACCATCTGATACGTTCTAGCTTGTTTCAAAATTCTAAACAGTTTTTCTTAAAATAAAACATCAACAGTAGAAATGAAAAATTCAACAGCTTCATTTTATCAAAACAAAATTTGAAAGCCAACAAAAAACCAAGAAGAAATGATCAAGTATAATCGTTTTCAATTGCACAATATTTTTTCAATCCCAATAAATGTCGTGATAAAACCAAAAGGAATTTCCATTTTTTTTTAAATAATTACAAATAATTTTAATAACGTTTTAGTGTTTTCTTTTCTAATTGGATTTAATTTAATTGTCGAACAGACAAAAGAAAAACAGCGGCACACACACGACCGGTAAATATAACCGGCTAAACAAAACTGAAACAAATTCAAACTAATGCCAATCGACAGACAACAAGAACAGCCAGCACCTTCACCATTAGATAGTCGCCGAGAAGCGGCTGTGGAAGAATGGTGGAGGAGCTCAATGGCAGATCTCTTATGCATAAAAAGTGCACAGCGTTATTTCCCAACCCCCTCCCCTCCCTCCTTGCTATCCAATATTCACAGTGCACCCAACACTGTTGGCTTGCAGCTGGAGCAATAAATTCGTTGTAAGACACCACCACAACCATGCCTGCATGCATCGGCAATAAAGTTATGCCCACAAGACCTACTCTGGATGTCTTGCAACACTGTTCATCATCATCATCAACAAAGACTAAAAAATGTAGGGAGCGAGAGATAGAAGGCTTCGCAGCTACAGACAGGCAGTATGGACATGGAGACATACTATTTATAAGAGAAAACGACATCAGCAGCAACACCGACTACAACAACTGACTGACTACTGCTGCAACAATAACCTATCACAAGTAATTAGAATTTTAAACTAGAACACGCTTAAAACACATGGAGGTGGGAGGTGGCAGCAGTGAGAGAGAACGAGGGGGAGGATGTGACTTAGAAATTACCTTATTAGATCATGTGGAAATAGAACAGAATGGGGATGGGTATAATAAGTTTGATCTAAATAGAAATGCGGTATAGTCACCACCACCTAGTCTATCTGGTGATTCTTTAATTTTCATCGAAGGATAAATCTGGAAGGCGGAAGCCGAAAAGTACTGGCGTCGAGTTTGTTTTCACCTTTGAATCCAAATATCAACACATTATACTACTGCAAATATAGGAAGCTCGACTTAATAGACTCACTAGGAGTCCAAGAGACTCTAAGATTAAAATCTCATTTTTCCTCTGATCTGGAAGGCCCCCAGTGATCAACCAGGCGGTATGCAAACCTAATCTGAGTCAATCGGCGGGCTCAGAACCATAATTCCAACGTAAAAGGATATGGAAATATGACACAATTTATTTTTCACTTCGGTTGGCGGTCATCATCTCATAAGCAGGCTTTACACGCATATGTAATTCGGCAGGCAAGCCTTTACAAGAACGTCAAGCTCATTTGTGGCGAAAAAAACCAGTAAGTGACCTTGGTGGCTTT